TACCATGCTGTTACCATGGTGTTACCACACTGTTACCATGCTATTACCATACTGTTACCATGCTGTTACCATGCTATTACCATGCTGTTACCATGCTGTTACCATGCCACGCAACCTCTCATTCCCCTGATTGGTGGAGAGTTGCCCATGTAGGCGGAGCACCCCGTTTCTGACGTCAGAACAATTTCAAATCTGTATCAGATCCATTGCAGCCCTGTTTTTAGAGATTTGGGTATGGAGGAAAAGAGAGAGGGTTGAGTTCCCTGACACACCGGGGACACATATTTATGTATAAAAGACGTACAAAAGTGCATTTTGCATGATAGGTCCCCTTTAACTAGCTAACTGTGGACAACAAACACTAGTTTTCTCCATCAGAAAACATAGTGGAATACTTTTTGATTATTATTGTTTATATTTTGTGGAGAGCACGCAACTTTGTCTTCATGTTGGTTGAAAAAAGTCTGTGCAAAGGACTTTATTTTATGTATGACTTTTAGAAAAAACTCCAGCCTTAATTTTAATTATAACCTCACAAATGGCCTGCATCGCTCCAGGGAAGTTCATTTAATTTTTGAAAGTTTTCACACAACAACATTATTTTAAACACTTTTTTCTCCCATCCACAACCAAATTTAAAATCTAAAAGTGTTTGGCTAGAACATAATGGGCTAATGAGTGCATATTAAAAATGATATATTTCTAATTACGTATGCTGCAACGTTATTTTCCCTCCATTGTTGAGATGGTCATAAAAACATTGCAGCTTTGTGGTGTACATTATCTTATAATAATGCCACTAAACTGCAGTGGGAATCATTTTAATGAGCAAAACAACAGCTTTCCAGTAAAGTCCTGAGCAACGTCCAAACTAATTTAACAATAAGACTGGACTGCAGTAATAAACCAAACGCAGGCCCTAATGGCCGACCCTGGAGACTTGATTATGCAGTTTGTGTAACCCATTATAGCAGCGCTGACAGTAAAAAGCCATCATAGCGACAAAAACCTCAGCATAATGACTCAGTGACTGTGAAACAACATGTAAGCTGAATGTGTGAGACGCAGACAAAAACACTCATGAATCATTTCAGTTCCAATCCATTTTCACGCACGGTGGATACATTAACATTCAGCTCGGAAAAGGTCACTTTATACCTTTTCAAGCTGAGCTGTTTTTCACTTTCTGTCATATAAAAGCAAATATCTGTGAAGGTGTTTAGGAAATATTTGATAAAAAGTCTCGCCATGTATTTCTTGCGGGTGTTTATCTCCTGACAACACGTATATGACAATTCCATACATAGCTAACACACTGTAAACCGATTAGCATAATAAAGGCAGAAACATTAACGCAGCATGCTTCCGCCTCGTGCTTAATTCCCGTTCACTCAAAAACGGGAGAAAATATGATCAGTGTTGTCGTAAACACAAGTACAAATCCCCGCTGTTATGGCAGCCATACTGAGAGACTTCTGATGTTTCCATTCCACAGATGCAATTTGCATTTGTTTGATTTCCAGCAGCAGTGTGCAATGCCTTTTTGTGCAACAATACAGACACAAATGAATTAAGATCCATCCTTCCTGGCTGAGATTATTTATCTCCCTATACTCAAGCTGTCTGAACTTGGGAAACACAGCTCCAAGTTATTCATTGTTATTCCCATATCCGTCGCCCACTACCTCCACAGTGTCTTCTGTAAGCCTGTGTGTGTTTTAGTCAAATATCATTCTTATACAACAGCTAATAAATAACGTGTTTAGCCTACTTTGGTGTACAGATGCGTGAGTGAATCACTGTAATGCAATGCATGCCTATAGCTGTAACCCCGCTGCTAATCCTTCTGCAGAAAATCAATTTCTCACATCGGCTTCAGCTGCCCTCAGGAAGACAAATCACAAAACTAGTCAAACCAGCGATCAGAATCAAGAAGACTGGAATCAGACGGAGGAGAGTGTAATACAATCACTAACAAGTCGCTGCCAAAATGAGAGCATGCCATTTTGACTCTCATCAGGCTTTTTAAAAAGGCAAATATTACATAATTAGGACGATTAAGACGAACGGGGACTAAAGGCCAATGGAGTTAACATAGCTGGAGATAATGAAAGGATTAGGGGTGATTCACTTAATGAAGGTAATGGCATTTGAAATGAAAAATAGGAATTCATTCGGGAATATGATTGACAGCTGAATATCCTGGAGTTAAACAGCACAGACAAGAGTCTGCTTGTGATGAATAAAGTCATTTGAACAACTGGTATAGAAAATATTTATGAAAAATATTTAATTTGAAATAAAATAGTGATCCTGACAGTGCTTTTAGAAATATCAAATAACAAATACAGTAAACACAAATAACAAATACAGTAAACACAAATAACAAAATATGAAACTCAAAAAATAAATATTTATAAAAAAATTAAAAAAGGTATATTAAAAAAAGGAAATAAACTTATAATGATGGATGAATTAATTTTAAAAACAGATTTAGAACAGATTTCAGAGTATAACATGTATTTAGTTAATTAGAAATAATATAGCAATCCTGACAGTGCTTTGAAACTTACCAAACAATAAATAAAAAACAGTAAACAAATAAGAACATGTAAAAAGCAAAGTGAGATAAAAATAAAATATAAAAGTGTGATCGATACAGCTATAGAACCGAATTTAGAATAAAACTTTTTTCTCCTATTAGTTTGAATCAAAATAGAGATCTAACAGTGCTTTCAAACCAAATAACAAAATATCAAAAATGAAAAAAAAATAGTGAGATAAAAACTCAAACTGTAAAATAACAAAAAACTTAAAAGTGTCAAATATCCAGGTGTGAAAAGTAGAAAAAGAGCACCTTTTGGAAAAGAGCGAGCAGATCTGCAGCGAGCAGATGAGCACTGACCCAATCTGACCCACTTCTCCCTGATTTATGGTTTATGGTCCCTCAGCAGACACAGCTTTGTTCTGGGGGGTCATAAATCTCCTGCACCTCAGAGCATCAGCTGACCCGCCCGTCTCCCTCCCTCCCTCCCTCCCCTACAGTCCCGTCCGCACAGCTCTCAACACAAAGCAGAAATCACCGAGCCACAAGCAGGGCAGTTAATCACCGCCGGCAGACAATGGTATGAAATAGAGCCAACGCGGGGCCCGGCAGGAGATTCGCTAAAGCACTCAAACGGGACAGCCGGGGTTTAACTGTTTGGTAACCTCTAGTCTCAGCAGGGGGGGAGAGTTTCTTAATTCCTGAAAAGTGAAATGAAGTTCTCACAGCTAAGCTATAGTGGGAGTGCAGGTAAGGATTCGTCATGATGTGAGGACGCCACAAACTGTACACAATTTATGCATCGAGCCAAGTGAAAAATAATTTAATCTGAGAGTTATTATGAGACGCATAAATACGAGACTCTGTG